AACCTGAGAAACACACAGGCAGTGCTCAAGGCATGGCAGAATAAAACAAGTGCTCACTAGTTTCTGAAACAACTAAAAATTTTAATTTGCTACAATCCTCTTAGATCTATCTTGAATTGAATATAGGAAATGAGAAAATACGAAAAATACCCCTCACAATCTGTCATATCTGTCTTACCAGGATACTCAGATACATTTGGATGATGCTCTCAGGACACAGGAGGACCTGAAGGAGCAGGTGGCCATGGTGGAGCGCAGAGCAAACCTGCTGCAGGCTGAAATTGAGGAGTTACGAGCAGCCTTGGAGCAAACAGAGCGATCGAGGAAAGTGGCTGAGCAGGAACTTCTGGATGCAAGTGAGCGAGTTCAGCTCCTCCACTCTCAGGTAAGTTCTAGGGTTGAATAAATATAGTATCTACAGTTCTTAGAGAACCAAAATGATCACTAAGTCTATTTTCCTTTTTTAACAGCTATATCACTGAGCCCTCAAAAATCTACCATTAAAATTAATCAATAGTGCATATTTTTAATTAAAAAAAATTTTCCATAAATAAAAGTAGGCAACTTATTTTTTCTAAATCTCTTATAAAGCTGCTAGAGAAAACACTTTGCTTTTTCTTCAACAGAACACGAGTTTGATCAACACAAAGAAGAAGCTGGAAACAGACATTGCCCAAATTCAGGGTGAAATGGAGGACACGATCCAGGAAGCTCGCAATGCTGAAGAGAAGGCCAAGAAGGCCATCACAGATGTGAGTCAGGGACTCATTGCACTGCTCATGGTGGTTGTATTCTCCCCCAAAATATCTCCAGCACCAATATGACTTTGATCCTTTGCTCTCTTCAGGCGGCCATGATGGCAGAAGAGCTGAAGAAGGAGCAGGACACCAGTGCCCACCTGGAGAGGATGAAGAAGAACCTGGACCAGACGGTGAAGGACCTGCAGCACCGTCTGGATGAGGCTGAGCAGTTGGCTCTGAAGGGAGGCAAGAAGCAAATCCAGAAGCTGGAGGCCAGAGTGCGTAGGGCTGGTATTTGTGCACGCGTAAGCAAGTCCTTTGGAGAGATACCAGGGAAGCTCCAAAGCTGGGCTTGTCATTGCAGGTGCGGGAGCTGGAAGGGGAGGTTGATGCTGAGCAGAAGCGCAGCGCTGAAGCTGTGAAGGGTGTGCGCAAGTACGAGAGGAGAGTGAAGGAGCTGACCTACCAGGTAAGGCAGGAGGCCTCCTTGGGCTGGCAGAGGTTTCTCACAGCAAGTCAAATTTTGCATGCACCATCCTCAAGAGGAATTGTTAACCTCACATGGTGGGAAAACAATAGCTTGTTCTCCTTCCTGCTTACCAACTGCTCTAGTCTGAGGAAGACCGGAAGAATATCCTCAGGCTCCAGGATCTGGTGGACAAGCTGCAAACGAAGGTGAAATCCTACAAGAGACAAGCTGAGGAGGCTGTAAGTATTGCTTGCAAAATAGGCAAGCATTGCTTTCTCTTGTTGCTGAGGAGATGAATATCAGAAATTTTGAAAATGCTCATAATCAACAATCAAAGTCCTAGCATCTTCGTCATCCAGGAAACCCCCACCTCATACCTGAGTACCAAAGAGTGGGGGAATAAGCACACAAATGACAAATTGATGTGACTAAATGTCTCCTCAAGTATGACATGGTACTGATGAAGGTTGTCACAGTGGGGTCCTGAGTAAGGGAGGATGAGGAGGTCTGTGTGATACTTATGTATAAGCAGTGGTGGGGGGGGGTGGAAGATTGTGCCTTCCCCCGGCAAGGGCCACAGAGCTATAAGGCCGAGGGACAGGAGTGGAATCCTGCCCCGGCCTCCTCCCCACTGATTCCCTCTCCTTACACAGGAGGAGTTGTCCAACGTCAACCTCTCCAAGTTCCGCAAGATCCAGCATGAGCTGGAGGAAGCCGAGGAGCGAGCTGACATTGCAGAGTCGCAGGTCAACAAGCTCCGAGTGAAAAGCCGGGAGTTTCACAGCAAGAAGATAGGAGAGGAAGAGTGAGGATATCCTGAGGCAACAGTGACCTGAGGAATGCACAAAATGTGAATCCTCTGTTGCTTTCTTCTGTAATTAGTCTTTGTAACTATGTCAATGTCTGTAGAATAAAGAATTTCGATTTCTTTGCACACACAGCAGAAGCAGTGCTTTCAGTTGTTACAATTCAATTCTGCAGTTACTTAAGTTTTGGGTTTTTTAAAGTCATTGATTTTCAGGATTAAGCTCCAGAAAGTAATTTATTTTCTGGATTAAGATCCAGAAAGTGTTGAATCAAAGAATGAATCTTACAATGCTTTGGGTTGGAAGGGACTTTTAGAGGTCACCTAGTCCAAGTCCCAAACTGTACTATTCCAAACTGTAGCAGTTTCAGTTATTGGAGCAAACAAATATTTTTGCACTACATTAGTGTTTCCCAGTAATGGGATTGTAATTTAAAGTTGGAATTATCTTCTTTATGAATAGAAATTGTATACCTATATTTTACAAGGTTTACAAGGATACATATCAAGAGGAACTGGTTTTGATTATCTAAAACCGGAAATCAGAACAAGTCTGGAAACATGACAACATGAAAGAAACGTCCGAATATGACACTTAGAATACAAGGAAACACTATACATGGTAGCTCCACACTGCCACCTAGTGCTTCCTGTCTGCCTTTTGCAGCAATGGACAAGTGTGGTGTAAATGAACTGAATGCGGGACGGAAAGTAGCCAACAAATACTGACTATTTTTTCATCTCACATGGGTTAACAATGCAAGCCATTTAAATCAGGATATAAAGTGTAAGCAGAACAAAAATGAGGAAAAGCTGACCATGAGGAAGAGCTTCAAGGCTCCCATCCCCAGCCATTGTCATTAGTGCCATGAGAGGGCTGTGCAGTCTGAGCAGATGCTGTCTGGATACCACTTGTGCCTCCACCCTCAAGCAATGAGCATTTGTTCCCACTGGGAGATCACAATGATACTTGCATTAGGGCGTCATCTATATGGAATAGGTGTTTAACCGAGGAAGCTGCCTAATTACCTGCACAGGAAGCAGCAGTACAGCTTAAAATACAAAAGAGCCATTCTGTCAGCACTGGAGCCTTGTGCATCATGTAATTGCTGATGGCAGAGTCTACAAGCAGATGTCAGGAACGGTAAAGAAGACTTGGCTCTCTTTCACTACAAGAATACTTAAGGCTCTCTTGAGATTCCTGGCTAGCTCTACACCACTACATTTCCAGGGAGTACTTCAAGAAGCTGTGAAATTACTGGGGAAAGGAACTGGATTTGTTGGAGGGGGGGTGGAGAGGAGAGAACAGGAAGGAAGCCTTTTGCACTGACCACAGTGGCCAGTGTGATGGCAGCAACAGCATTCAAGATTAGGAGGTCTTCCTTCCCTCAGACATGCTGAGGCTTACACCCAAGGAATCCTCCCATGTTATAACTAACTGTAGTTAAGAAAAAGATGACACCCTGTGTTGAGACACAGCATCTTTATATGTGGAACTGTGAAAGCTGTGTCAATGCCAATGATATCTGTGCACCAAAGAAGGGAAACCACTCCTCTCCTCTCTCCCTTCCCATAGTATGCTCCCAATAAATAGGTGGGATTCTTTCTTTCCAGAAAAAAAACACCTTTGTCTCTACACCTTGAAAGGAATCAAAAGGATTTTGTTTGTATTAAAGAGCATATTTCTTTAAACAAACAAACAAACTAATAAATGACACCAAAAGCAAAAGCTTAATTTCAAAGTCAGCGTATTGCAAGTGTGGCTCACTAAAAACACAGACAAGTATTTCTAGCTTCATGAGTACCTTTTTAAATCTGCTGACTTAAAGCATATACCGCAAAAACTTTGGGGACCACATTTTGATGCTTAAAATCCCTATTCCTCTTGGACAATATTACAATGATCATCCAAAATGTACAACTTGGCCTGACTGTGGAATAATCATTATGTATTCAAAGCACTTGAAAACACTGGGGCTCACATCTCATCTGTAAGAAATTGTGGCTTGAGAATTTGTTCCTAAGAGCTAAACTTATGATAGGTAATGTTGTAGTCTTCTTAAATGACAACATCTTGGTCTCATTATCTACTTCAAACTGCATATGTGGGAAATGGAGAGAAGTCTCACAGACTGTACTGGGCTGACCTGGCCTTGCCACTGGCCATACTGGAAAACATGATTGGATACTTCTTGGAATTGGAGTGGAATATTAATGGAAGGAATAAGGAGAACTAATTTCTCCTCACTTTGTGATATGCTGCCTTAGATGGAGGACAGGAGTCATTTTGCATTGACACACTATTTCTGGAGTCAGACTGCTTGTGACTTGATAAGTGCTGATGCAAAGGTAACTGATCTTGGGAAAAACATGATTACTATTAGACACTTCTTGTCAATAACTTGTCATAATAATGTTCATAATTGCCGTTCTCCAAGCACTTCCAAGCCATACAAAAAGGACCCAAAAATATCTTTGAGTACAAAGTACATTCCTCCCAAATGGCAGAAAAAGAAAGAGACAGAGAGTGAAAGAAAGAAAGCAAGCAAGAGAGAAGGAGATGGGAGAGGGAGAGGGAGAGACATTGAGAGAAATGGAGAAAGGAAAAAGTGAGAAGGAGAGGAAGGAAGAAGAGGAAAGAGAGGGAGAGAGGGAAGGAAGGAACGAACGAACGAACGAATGAACGAATGAACTTGGGAGTGACTGTCACAGCTGTACCTACACTCCAGAAGGGGGATCCACACTGCTTTTGTGAACCCACTGTCCACCTACCCATTTCATGCCCATTGCCTTAGTACCTCAATGCCTGTCATGCTGGATAAAAGTGCCTTGGGAATCACATCTATTTTCTGAATCACTACTTTGACCTGGCACTGCAGGAAGAGTAGGCAGGCAGGCAGGCTGTGTCTGGTGCCTTCTCACATTCCAAGTACTTGTGAGTGTGACAAAAGATATGGCTGAAAACATTGAGGGCAGGTGCACTTTGGGAAAGCAGGGCTACTGGTGAGGACTGCGAGGGTGGGTAGAGTGTAGGTTCTCTCTCCTAGGAGAGCTGAGAGAGTGGGTTTACACATTGGGCACTGCATGATATACTACTACTTTGCAAGGTGGTAATGCAATTAGATACAGAGAGCCTAAATATGATGACCTGATATGATGAGTAATAGAATTTAAGTTAAACAGCAAGTGCTCTTGGAAATGTTCAGAATATCCTCTGCTATGGGTATGTGAAATCACAGTATTCAAAAACACTTTTTAATGCTTGTCCAATCCTGACAGACATCTGTCCTGGGTAGCCAAAAGTCTGGCCTTAATAAAGGATAAACTATGTCCATGGCCTCCACAATGCAATATGGAACCACTGAAATCACACCATGAAACACTTAGGATGAACACAGGAAAAATCTATTTTTCTTAGGGTTGATTTGAGACTGTGGAGGAATCCTCATGGAAATGAGGGGGAAGTAGACATGAAAAAGATAACACAAGGTAACCCACAATAGTTCTGTTTGTAACTGCATGCAAGTTAGTCTGTTTTCAGGAGACCTTCTGGCTGTTCATACTGGTGTTTGGATCTTAATTAATTTGTAACAGTACCTAAGTAGAATAACCACAGCTCAGACAAAGTATGATATGGATAATCCTTCCATTTACAGCATTCAAAAGCAAGGCATCAAAACAATAATTATCGTCTGACATTATGGCACCTCTGTTTTCTGCCAGCAATTGCAACTGGTCAACATTTTCTCAGGTCTTTTCTGGGGGAACAGGCACTTTCTCAAGTTTACACTATACTAGTAACCCTGATTTCTCTTCACACCAAAACTTTCTCCTCCTTCATCTCCTTCTACCAACTGTTGTCTCTCTTTTTGCCTTTTCTACCCAGAGATCATCCAGAGTTCTCACCTCACTCACCTGCTCTGTAACAGGAGCTCCTCAGCTGCTTTGGTGAGTGATGGAAAGGGCATTCTTAATGTCACGTCCTCATCCAGGAGCCACTCTCCAGTTCTCTTCCATTGATGTTTGCTGGAAAAATGGGAGGAGCCTAAGAAGCTTTGCAATTTTGACATTCATTTAGCACCTGCTGAGGTATTAAGTTATTACCTTCTTCTTCACTTCACAGTTAAGTGATGTTGAACAATACTTGGAGTCCCAGTTGCTCTTTTCCTGCTCTCTCTTCTGAAAGACATTGCATGAAACACTGTACATACTTATGTGGCAGACCTCTTTATACCATTAAGCTATACCAAAACCGCATTGCAAAAATTAACCTTGAAGCAGAATCAAGAGAATACAATTAGGAGACAGAAAGACCTTCACAGTCCCTCCATGCTTTGGTATATGGGACAGTGCAGTCTTTATAAGTGACTTCTAGCCTCAGAAAAGCTAGTTTTCCTTCACCACGGCAAATGTCATGAAGGACCCAAATTGCCCTGTACCACTCTGTAGGTCTCTCCCTGAATATTTTTATGTTTCTGGTAGTCCTGTTCATCAATCTGTTTTCCTCATAAATTGGTTAACACCTCCAGTCTTATATGCTCCTTTTTTTTTTAACTACATAGCACACCACCACCACTTTAGACTAGACATTTCCTGCAGGTAATGTTCAAAGCATGCATTTCATTAGTCACCAGGAGAAAGAGAGGTTTTAATAAGGGAAGTGTGTCCTACCATCTCCAGAGTCCAGTGCCCAACTGCATCTTAGTGTTAGGAAGTGTTGGGATGAGAAGTCTTGCTCTGAATGATCAGTGTTTCAGCAATTCTGTTTCTCTGGCACTAACATTCCTGGGGGCTCTCGTTTTACACAGAGGGCAGCAGAAATGCTGCTGTGGCAGAGGCTGGGCATTCCGTGTCAGATGGTTCATCAGGGGTCCACAGGGCACACTGATCCCTCCAGCATGCCCTGCTCATACTGAGAGAGTGGCAGACAGCAGCACTTGCAAGCTGCAAATCCCATGGAGAATGTTTCTCAAATAAAGTGTTGTACTGAATAATCCACCGATTTATAAGATCTGGCCACCATGTTGGATTTTTGTTGTTGGGTTTTTGTTTTTTCTCCTGAGGATCTTGATAGTTTTAGTTCTTTCTGAATCTTAGTTTAGTCTTTTATCTGACAACATGTGTGTCTGGTACAGCTAAGT